TCTCTCTCTCTCTCTCTCTCTCTCTCTCTCTCTCTCTCTTTTCTACCTTTTTATTCTCTTGACAGATAAGAAATCTCTTTCCGGCAGCGATCTCGTTCTTTATCACGGAGCTGGTATGCAAAAAGGGAAAAAAAGTTTGTTCAGATCGGTACAGTTAAGCGCTTCCCTTGAAAAAATATGGCCAAAGGAAATGAATTTGCTAGCGATGAAACCACCTTAATCGTAATAATGTGATCGCACTCGTCTTTTCCAGTCCACCTGTTCCTTTCATTGTTCTTCGAAAAAGTACGAGATAACTATTTATCGAACAAAATCTTTCTTTCGTTTCTTTTAATGTTATGCGCATTCATATAAATGTATATAAATAGAATTAAATTCTTTCTCATTTTTTGATAATAAACTTTTTTGTTCTTTAATTTTTTAATTTGTGAAATTTAAATTTAATAAACTTAAGTTTTTAAGTTAAAGGGTATACCTTAATATCTTTCAATTTAATTTGTTTTTTTTTATGCTCTTTAACAATATAAAGAACACGATAAAGAAACATCGGTTATGTTGAAATTTTATACAAGAATGACGTTGAAAAAAAATTCATTCAACAATTAGGTTACCCGCCTCTGCAGTAGTGTTACTTTCTTCTTTGAAGATTTTTAATTGATTCCATTTAAATGGAACACCTTTTATATTAATAAAAAGGAATTATCTATACGTCCCGTAGCGAATCGAAAATCGAAGTGAACCATTCCGGGTTGTCGTAATATAATATATCTGACGACTCCAATCCTTTTAAATTTTACCTTAATTCTATGAATTTTTCCAATAGGTTTTTGTATTGAGATTTTCCTAATATTCAAAACTTTTCTTTTATTTCAATAATATCCTGTAAATCTCGAAATATATATCTGTAAGTTTACAAGGCTGTTACGACAATTGAGTTTATGATCTCTTAAATCATTAATAAGATTTTATCGTGAAAATATATCTCAAAGAAAGTTGAAACGTGTCTGCAGAATGACGAGACCATGGGGAAAGAAAGTGTTTTATTTCTAAAAGCATTTAACAAGATTGCGGCAATTATTAAGATCAGTCGAAGTAAAGTTTTACCTCGCTCCGTTTCCTACCTGCAACTTAAATACAAGAAAAAGATAAGAAAGGGAAAGAATGAAAAAGATAGAAACCTAAAGCGATATCAATTTGTGTAGTTCGTTCGATATATCGAGCTCTTTTTCCGGTTTCTGGTATGCTCGACACTCTGACAAGCTTACCGAGTTTAGTTTAAGTAAGCAAACGATTGACTACATAAAGGGTCTGAAGTTGAATCTAGCTTTCCCTCTTTCTCTTTCTCTTTCTGTCTCTCTTTCTTCCTCTTTTCATGGCTGCGAAATGAGTGCAACGAACACAGGAAAACTACCAGCCGAAGTGAAAGCAACCAGACAGAAATTGATGTTAGGCATTTGCATTTATTATTAATACATTCCTCGTTCTGTCACTGGCTGAACCTGTCAGCCAAAGCGTTTTCGTGCCCCTCTTTTCGACCCTCTTCTCCTGTCGCCGACCTCGAAACTTTCGTATCTACTCTTTTCTTTTTTTTGTCTTCCACCCTTTTGACTGCCTTGTCAATCTTCGTTGAATTTAATATCGATCCATCGGCTATATTCTTTAATAATTTAACTAATGTGTGTGTGTGTATGTTTGTGTGTTAACTGAAAGAAGTATTTTCATTTTTTGCTAAGCTTGTTGATATTTTCTTTCGCTTTCGTAATTGTATACTCGTGTACTCCTTCAAAAATCCTTCAGCGTTTCGTTACTTCTATGTAGTTCATTTTGTTAATCAGAACGTTTAATTTAAACGATACGCGACCGAAGAAAAACTTTCGAATTACGAGTAACTTGTTTGAAGCACACGATCCTATTCGTAGAAAGTTGTAATTCTTTTTTCTTTTTTTTAGAATAGTGTGAACGAAAATGTCTACATTTGGAATTGGAAAAGCAAACATGTGATCGGTGAATTGGAAAAAAAAATTTGTTGGACCATTAAATAAAATGTAAAGAATAGTAAAAAGAAGAGAAAGAGAAGGAAAACGAGAGAGAGAGAGAGAGAGAGAGAGAGAGAGGAAAAGAAAAAGAACGAACTCTAATAATATTCCAAATGACATGAAAAATATTATTTCTTCACAGAAGTGTGTGTGTGTGTTGGTGGAACGGTCAATTCGCACCATCGATTTTTCTTTTCCTGTCCTGTAGATAGTTCAGCTGCGGCACCGGTATTTGTTGAAATAATATCGTCGTGGGAAACTAGCCGCGATTCGATTACTTTCTTTCGTTGAAACGAGAACTCCTAGCTAGCTGTATAACACTGCGTGTCATTTTCTCCCTATTTTTTGTTTTGGAATGAACCATGCCTACCACCGATCCTGTCAGTACCATCGTTATAACTAGCATATGGTAGTGAATTTGGGGAGGGTTATAAAGAATGAAAATGGAAAAGACGATGAGCCGTGTACTGGAAAGCTCACGGTCCAATCGTACTAATGCGTATCACTCCTGCATTATACAGTGAGCTAGAAATCTCAGGGTTGTCCTTCTTACAAGGGAGAAAGTCGATAAATGTATCCCTTCTTCCGACACCTTTGGACAGGCTTCACCGTTAATCGAACGTCAGAAGACTTTCTCATTAAAAAAAAAAAAAAACAAAAAAGAAACGAGAAGAAAATCTTTTCTTTTTTTCATTCGTGACTAAATTCCCTTCTCTTCGTTTTTCGTTTAAAGATATGATTCTAAAGTCTATTTTTTTTTCTTTTTTGGAAGGAACTTTGATAAACTTTAAAGGATATCTTATCCTATTCTTGAAAAGTTATGTATGCTTATATTACTATTAATTCCATGCATCTAATTTATCTTTTAGTCCTTCCGAGAAATGCTTACTGATTTATCGAGCGACCCAAGATAAGCACGGTCGGCGAACAATAATTTGCTTAACATTTCGATTTAGCAGAAATCACGTAGAAAAGAAATGTTTGGTTATCGTTTCTCTTTTCTTTTTCTTTGAACATTTTTTTTTTTGTAATTCTTTCCTTTTTTTCGTCAGTTTTGGTTGTCTTGCCGATAAACGAAAATTGATAGAAAGGCGGCAGACATAAAATACGAGAGTCATGACGTATCGATCTCTTTTTATTTTACTGTCTCTCTTTCTCTCACTTTCGCATTCTTCTCGCTTCGCTCGTTCTATCTTTCGATTTTTCCATCCCTTCTTTCTTATCAATCCTGGCTGTTATTCGTGCAACGTTTCGATCCTCGCTTCGCCGGCAGTAAATGTATCTGCACTTGACATTTCCATTCTGTGCCTTATGCAGGACTCCTTTGAAATATCGTTTATGCGTATACTATGTATCCAGCATCATACTCGGTTTAACGACTGCAACAGGTCGTTAAGTTGTGCATCGTAAAATGTCAATATTAGACGAAAATCGAATCAACCTTGGTTGCCGGAAGGCACTCGAGATAAAATTCCCAAGTTGAATTACATTTCCTTTTCCGATCATTTGCCATTTTTCTCACGAATCTCACTCCTCTTTTTTTTCCTAACGCACACATATACAAATGAACCTCTCTCTTTCTTCCATTTCTGATATAGGACAAATATAATTATCAAAAATGAAGAATAATATTTTAAATCTTTTCAAAATTTAGTTATTAATTATACTTGAATAATTTCTATATTTAATTACTAATAAATACACGAAAGATTCTAGCTTATAAAATAAGATTTAGTATTTAAGAACAAATACTTTGGAATCTTCGTCACTACCTCAAACTTAGAAAGCACTAATTCGAGAAGGTTTTCATCTCGCGGGTTGAAATCCTTGAATATTACTTGTGGTATCGGGAGAATCACGGAATAAAAGCGAGAGCAGCCAGGCACGCGTAGAGAATGGTATTGTGCATAGAGTTACCCCGAGGTTGGAGATCTTCTTACGCCTCGTTAGATCTCTTGTTTCCGTCTTTTGAAACGAACCTTGTAGGAGTATTGTATATCTATATGTATACATATATATATATATATATATATATATATATAAAAATATATTTATATATACTACGTGTGTATATTATATACTTCTATACATAGGTAATATCCAGGTTTTGCGGTTGCTAAGCTCATCGCCTCCATAATACCTTTTAATAGCTCATTCTCACTCAGTCCTTTGCTCGCTCATCGTGCAAAAAGGATTTGATTTCCAGACGAGTACGCGCGACTACTTCGTGCTACTATAACCGTCTCGTAAGTGATCATAGAAAGTGAAATCATTTCGTACCATTCTCGTCGTCTCAAGCTTTCATCATCACAATACTCTTTTCACGATTTTCAACATTCTTCTAATCGATTCAATCTACCAAGATTATTATACATTTGTTTTTTAACCGAATCATATAGATTTGCCTTAGTTATTTAATATCCTCGTAATTAACAGACAATTTATCACAAATTACACAAACGACAAGTATTTATTTGAAAATAATTAAATTTGTTTTATCGAACGACTCCAATGATATGTGTATATTTGTATTATGTTTCATAAATTAAAGATCATTTAAACGTTAATGATTCTCCGTCCAGTACACAGCATCGAATTTTGTAAGATTCTTTTCAATTTCACGATTTATCGAAACTATTTGTTCTTCAATGCTATCGATCGTTATTTGCACTTTGGGGCTATTTATTTTATTATTATTTATCTTTCTCTCACCCTCTCATTTTGTAAAATATTTTATTGATCATTAATAATTTCAATCGCGAGTAAACATTACAGTTTTCATAAAATTAAATTCAATAAATAGAGAAAATAAAGAATCAGCATTGGATATGAACCGCAAAAGGGGAAAGAGAATAGGAAACACGTACGTGGACAAAACTTTTTACGCTTGGTTGATTCGTATTGATACCATGAGAGTGCAGCACTGCCTTGATGGAAGGTTCCTCTTAAAGTCGGTAGTGGGAGAGACTCGAGCAGTATGGCGCAGAAGCACACGCACGCTCGGTCGTATAATCGAGCAACGCTTTAGTACTGCTTACTGCTTCGCATTGTAGAGATGATTTTTGTGTTGTTTGTGATTACCGAAAGTATTTTCAAGTTTTATCTCATAAATAAGGTACGTTTTTTGCATATTTTCCCACAGTGTTAGCTCCCTTTTTAAAATTGTCAAGAATTTATGAGTATCGATCCGTTCTTTGCCATGCGTCACAAATTTATACATTTGTGAGGTTATGTGAGGTTATATCTTGTTTTACAAAATAAGAGTTTAGTTTCGAGTTGATGAGAGTGCTGTTTATATTTAATTATATTTACTGATTAGAATCTTATCAAAGAGATTATTTGATTTAAGTGATTATTATTAAAACTGTCTTTTTCAAGTGTTATTATAAAGTGCACGCTTACAAAGCGTAAGGATCTTTAGTTCAAATCCTACTGGAGAAAAATTTTTCTTTTTGTAATGAAAATAAATTTGAGTGTTTTTGTTTTTTTTTTTTTTTTATAATGAATGTTATTACTAATGCATGAAATTGAAAATTCGAAAAATTACTTGATACTTATCGTTGAAAATTATTATTTAATAAATATTAATATATATAACTTACGAGAGTCTATTCTATTTTTACAGAGATTCATCGGAGAATCATTGTGTAGGCATCTAAACGACAATTAATAATAATTGAAGATTCATATAAGCAATTAAGAATCGTTATATTCGTTATCTATCTTATCGGAAAACACAAATCAGGAAAATGCCATTTACAGCGGATGCAGCGGCCGCACAGATCCAGGAACGTCTCCGAAATGTGTATCAGTTAGTTCACGATATTGAGGCACAGAGGAGTAGGTCTGAACATAATTTAAATAATATTGTGAAAACTCACGAAAAGGTTACACCGGAAGATAAAGTGTCTTCATATTATCAACAAAAATTGAAGAATCTCTATAGTGCAGCAGTTATTGACGCCCACCAAGAAGAAGAAATTTTGCGAAAAGCCTTGGGTAAAATTAATGAAATCCGTGGGATAAGGAACGAGAGGCGTATACAGGCAAGAAATGCTGGTAACAAAGAAACGATCAGACGTGGTGCATTAATGAAGATGCTGTTAAGTACAGCACAGACGCTTCCTCTTTATGTTGGTAAAGCGCCAGGAGCGAAAGCACCTCCATTGTGCGGTGCTGTTCCAGCTGAGCCCACCTACATCGCGAAAATGGGAGACATGGTAGCTGCATTGGTAAAGGGATCGGAGGAAGAAGAAAACTGGATACTCGCGGAAGTTGTACAATTCAATCAGGCAACAAACAAGTACGAGGTAGACGATATCGACGAAGAACAGAAAGACCGTCATACTCTTTCACGTAGACGAGTGGTACCTCTACCATTGATGAGAGCAAATCCGGAGACCGATCCTCACGCTTTGTTCACGAAAGGTTCGGTCGTGATGGCTCTCTACCCACAGACAACATGCTTCTACAAAGCAGTTGTCAATCAATTACCTACCACGGCTACGGAGGAATACGAAGTTCTTTTCGAGGACGCAACTTATTCCGATGGTTTCTCACCTCCGTTAAATGTTGCACAACGTTACGTTATATCTATAAAGGAAAGTAAAAAAAACAAGAGCCAATGTTAAGTCAGTATTATTCTATATATATAGAATATATTCTATGTATTTTCGTTATATATATTTATAAGTATTTGATAAGATTTATTTTATAAGATACTCGTGAAAAATAAAAAAGAGCGCGTTGAGCGTGGTTTTCGTTACCACCCTTATCCTATCAACGAACACTTGCTATCCTTTTCTATAAACATCTTAACGATAGCAATCGGAAAATAACAATCTCGAATTGTACATCATTTTTCCTTATGATACCAGTATTAGTATTTTTAACGTTGGAATCAATTTTAATTTTAATCTATATCTATGATAATTACAAATAATTTTAGATATTTTTGAAACGTTTAAATGCATAGAGCACGCATATTTGAGTATACTAAATTACACGTGGTTGGAACTTCTCGAGGGACTAAGTGAGCATATGCGAATAGGAAAAACGCGTATCTACCGTTAGGGTACTATATCCGCAATGCTTTTAGTCGAGTATAATCGACGTAGGTTATACAAGGATAATGTCGGCATTAGAGTACGTACCAACTTGGGAGGACCTCGACATGTGAACTATTTTGACCTTCCGCAGTATCGGCATTCCGTGATCGGTTGGCAATGTTATTTCTTTCTTTATATTAGAAAAGTATTTACAAAGATGGTGGAAGGACAAAATTAAAACTTCAATCGGAGAATAGATCGTCCAAACCATAAGAGCTTACACAAGGGAAGGGAACGAACATAAAAGAGGATTCTGTGCAATAATTAATTACATAATCAGTGACTACCGTCAGACATCAAAGCGACTCGAAGCCGATGCTACTACCACAGTCGATGATGGTTCGTTGGATTTAGCCATTTCTCTTTAATTATTTAATTTAATCACCCTGGTACTTACTATCTACAAAAAGCTTCCTTCAACATATGTTGATAAATTTAATTGACTTTGCACTATACTATTAGTTCCCAACGGTACCCACATGTGGTCGGTCAATGTTGATGTTAAATTATCCGTTTCTTTATATTATCTATGAATACATTTATTCTCTATTAAACCGTGTTATTTCAAGAATTTTTCATAAAATATTTCTTTCCTTACTAATCGTCGCATGAAGATCGTGATAACTCGTAACATCGTATAAACTCAACGGAGAACTATATCGTTCTAGTATTATCGAAATTAAGATCGTCACGACATCGAAAAGTACCCTTGCCATAAGAAGGAAACGTTACAACATAAAAAGAAAGAAACGAAATTTATAATCGCCCTTCCTTGTAAAATATCTAGAGTTGTATCGAATAGTTTAAACAAAAAATATAGAGAAAATCTACGATAAAAATTGGCTCAATAACATCTCGAAAAAATAAAATTCGGTCTTTTTCGAGAGACAGTAGGTATAACTTTTCACTTTCAGATAGCAAACAAAGTCGTGTCGACAAAAGCCATTCGCAGTCATGAAATTAATTAAAGTGGTAATAAGCTTTGGCCAGTCGAGAGTGGGTGGGGTTGGGGAGAGTATTCTCTTAGGGGAGAGAGTTGGCGAATTTCTCTTCAACATTAGACGACCTTCCTCTCGCGAAGTTAAGCGTGACAATGCGAATTCCTTTCACAACCAGTGATATAAATATATATATGTATATATAAGACGTATAGGTATGGAACACTGAATAGGTTGTTGTTGCATGTGTGCAATACGCGAATACAAGTGGAGTCGAAGCATGCAAGCTACCGGAAGCTAAAGCGAACTTGCACCCAGGCACGCGAGCCGTCCTTTTCACCCTCCGATCTCCGATTGTAGAAACCTTTTCTTTCGTCTTTTCTCTTCTCTCTCTCTCCTTGCTTCTACCAGTTCTCTTCGTTCATTCGTTCCACGTCTCAGTTATCTGAGTAATGCTTCTTCGTTTGCTTCGTTCTACCTGTTAGCTTGCCCTCTTTCTCTCTTTCTTTCTTTCTTTCTTTCTTTCTTCCTTTCCTCGTTTAAGTCTTCTCATCTCCTATCTTCTCTACTTGTCTCTCTCTTTCGTCTGTATAACCCGATCGGTAGGTGGGTCTACCTTACCCCTTTCCAGTAATAGCGCACTGTATTTTTCTTCGGGGCTCGTAATTACGGTCGAGTAGTCGTGCATACTCTTGAGCATATTTTATTTCGCTCGAGATCGATCGTATAGCGAAGGCCATCATACCATAGCCGTCATGATCGATATCCATTTACCTTCTTCATTTGCAAATTATTTTCTGAAAATATTCGGATTTAACTTGATCGAGAGAAATCATTAATCATTTTTCTAAATTTCTTCACAAAATTTTCCTATCATTAAATGATTTCCCTATCGCAACTATCTTTTTTTGTTTTTCAGCGAAATATAATGTTTCATAACAATGAAAATTCCTTTACCGATTTTTAAATTTTTATTCCTTAATTTTTCATTTTAATTTGCCAGGAAAAATATAAAGAAAGAGAGAGAAAGAGAAGATTGCTTGATAATACTGCTTAACGAGTTGCCAACATTTGATCCAACTGTAGTAAGTAAAGAAAAAAAAAAAAGAAAGAACTGTCGTGAATCCTAAGTGACGTAGTAATGAGTCTGACTATGTTTCTAAAGAGAAAGACTTTGTATTAATAGCTTCTGCCGTTGAACGGACGAGAAAAATCCGAGGGCTCGTTTATGGTCACTACGGGGCGAGAGAGTAAACCCATCGATAAAGTGGCCCTTCTCTGGCTTTCTCTTTCTCTCTTTCTTTCTCGTTCTGAAGGGATGCGACGTTTTCGTTTCCATTTAATCTCGCTCGATTGAATTCGCTATCATCCTTTTTCGTACCTATGATATCCGTTCTAGCACGATTCCATTGGATGCCACTGACAGGATTTTCCTTCTCAAAGACGTTAAAAAAGAAGAATTCTACGGTTAATAGCTTTTACTCTAGAAGAAAAAACGAAAAAGTGAAGTGAGTGACTGAGAAGAAAAAGAAAAGAGAGAGAGAGAGAGAGAAATAGAGAAAAAGAAGATCGTAGATTCATCGAAGGTAGTGCCTTTTCGAGGACGGTATGGATCTGGGTTTAGCCTCGTTTTAGCCGCGGGCACGAGCGAAGGAAGAAGTAAAGCTTCAGCGCAAAAGCGTTTCGAAAGCTGATTCGATCTAAACCTATTGGCTTTCGCTAGAGCAATTTCTTCCTCGATACTACAATGTTCGGCTTGCTGGTTCTATCAGGCATGACGGTAAGCACCGGCACGCTTTTTTCTTCCTTTTACTTATACGCGAACGACACTTCAAACCAAATGATAGCGTACTGTATCACCGTACTGTATATTCCTCGGCCTGTCTTTCTCGAACAATCGACCAGTAGTATCAGCCAAGTACTACGTAGAGATGCACTTCGAACGTCTCGCTTAAGCTTCAAGTACCTTTCACTAAAATCTCGTCTAACGCCTGCCCTTCGGCTATGAAATTGTGCTTTGCGAAATTTACTTTGTGATTGCTTAAAGGAATCGCGAACCTTTCGAAAAGAAAACGCGAACCTTTTTAATAGACCGATTTATTGCCCTTTAAAAAAATGAGGTTCAAGATATAAGAATTCAGATTTTATGATTACTTTTTTTGATTTGTAAAGTTACATTGTATTAAATAATTAGAATTCTATATATAAAGAAATGAAATATTAATGTGAAAAAGAATTGAGAAAACGATCGGACGAGAAATAAGAAAGTTTCAATATTATTGAAATAAATTTGAACGAATGTAATATAACTAAATACTAAACGTTTGCTAAAAATTTTTATTTTTTTCTAGCATCCTAAAGTTGTCTCTTAGCGAGGACGGTGATTTGTTAGGTTTTTTGCTCGAGGGGTTTAAGCATTAAAGGATGAAACGGCGTTCTCGCTTACATATTTCAACGCGAAATTTGTCTTTCGCAGTCTAGGAGAGAGAGCACGATCCACGATTTCAATGTTGGAATCACGTTCTCGACGTGCCCGTTGCGACGGTGCCTGCCCGACGGCTAGGGAGAAACGGACGAATAATTCATAGGCGGGCAGCTCTCCTCGTTAATTAATTGCGTTTGCCAATGAAGGCGGGGCGCTTTAAAACTTCCATCATAATTCAGACTATAATCGGTTATCGTGGTCATTATCGTCTCCAACACAGAAAAACCGATCTTTGCGAGTGCGCGTCTGTGTATTTGTGCATTGTACATTCATATATATATATGTGTGTGTGTGTGTGTGTATGCATGTGGGCTGGTAGCGTGCGTGCGAACGCCATCGCCGTTTAGTTTTACGACGCCTTGGTGATCCTTAAAAGAATTTTAATTTTCATGCACGTAGATGATCCGATCTTCGCTTGTTCTTCTTGTTCCCTTGTTAAAAATATAATTGACGAGACATTTTTAACGAGCCATGTTCGTCACAACGATCGATCTATCGTATGGTACTTATTGCCGTCAAGTTAGTACTTTAAAGCGTCTATAAATAATGTACTATCTAAATTCTGGATAGCAGTTTAATATCTATTAGTACCTATGTTATCCATTTTATTTTGACGATAGTTCAGAGATTATTAGAGAAAGAGAGTAGTTTTTGCACGTTTGATAGAATACATGTAAATACTACTACAATCGCGAAGGATATAGTTTGATTAGCGATACTGATAAAATATTGACAAGTTGGCCTACTTAATATGTAGAGAAACGTCTACGTCAAAAGCAATGATTAATTTTCAGTTACTACCAACGATATTAGTTTTTAATGGATTATCATTGTTCTGGGAATTATAATAATTAGCTTTGAGCTTTGTAAGCCGGATTAATCCTATATGCGCACTCCGAGATCCCAGCTCTGTCATCTGTCGGTACTCGTTGTACGCTTGTGTGAGCTAGTAAGCTTAAGTTCGTGTAAATGCCTTGTACATTGTTCCGAATGCACTATCTACTACACGTTCTTTCACGTGTACAAAATTGTGATTCTGTTTGAATTTACATTTAATATGAGGTAGATAGGTAGAAATGTGACATTCTTTTCTTCTACAAATTTACGATCATTTATACAATGTATATAAATACATTTTTATGAAAATGTAATTTATCATGGTACCCTTTTAAAATATGTTATTTGGAATAAAACGTGGCTCATACTTTATATCCCGTATATTTGATCCTTTTGATAGTTCCGTCCGTTATATGTTCTCTTCATATAGCAATATCTTGACTAAGTTCGTACAAGTCGTGAATTCAGTCTGGTCATTTCTAAAGCAAAATGCAATATGCATCGTTATGCATGTCATTTCGAAAATCGAAACTGAAGGGTACAACTTTGTAACCAGCATACTATCCTATCAAACTAAACGAGTGTTTCCAGTCTCGCGGTAGACGTAACATCAGCTGAGAAAAGCGAAATAGGAGTTTGTTAGTTGTATATTATATGTCTCTTCTTCGTTCTCTCCGTCGACTTTATAACTCGGGGTTAATAATATTCTGTTATTATATCCAAACTTGAGTTCCAGTGGTTCTGACGGGGACGTTTAGGATACGTATCGGTCGCTTGTTCACTTCGTCGAAAACTTTTGTTCCGTACTGCGACATCATCACTTTCAGGAAAATTTCTAGAAACCATTTCCCCCGAGTAGCTACGTGAATAATTGAAAAAGTTAATGGAGTTGACGTTGAAAAGAATTAAAATGAATTTCTAATAATGAATGAATTCGAATGAACAACAACTGTTATACGTCTCGTTTAAAAAACAATTTTTTCGCGTGAACATTTTTTCGAAGGGATAAGAAAAAGAAAAAGAAGTAAAAAAAAACGGAAAAAGAAAAGAGATAAAAATTTCTCGTTTTCGATTTAAGTTGGGAAATCGATCGGAAACGGGATATCGATAGTAAATTATCGATCAAAGCGTAACTCGCCGCTTCGGAGGAACTCGATCCGTTGAGCGAGAATGGAAGCGAGAGGAAAGTACTCTCTCGGGGCTCGTTCGAAGGTAGCCACGGGCTAACCGACGAACCTTCAGCCTAATTGAATTTCGCGTACGAGCGTTGCGACGATTCGTCATTCCAGCCGTCCAATTTGGCGCGAGTCG